GAAGAGTTCATTCCGGCGATACTTGATGCCCTCCCGCCGCCAGCCGATCTGCCCAGTCACCTGGCTGGTGATCTGGGACTGCTCTTCTTTTGTCTACATAAAGGTAAAGACAAACAGCAATGGCTTTGCTCCTCTCCCTTTTCAATCATTCTATCTCTTCCCACTTCACCCTCACCCCACCTCCCTTCTAGGCCTCTCCTTGTAACCCATTCTTTCCCACAGGTCCCCATGGGGCAGGGCCCAGAGAAAACAGAGTAAAGCCCAAGGGCAGAAGCCAAGGGAACAACTTACCTGATGCTGGAGGACACAGGGCCAAAAAAGGTTCCCACAGGAAGCCATAGGGGAGGCAGAAAAGGAGAGAAGGCTATGAGGTTTGGATCCTATAGGAGGGCCCAAGTGCTCTTCTCCTGAAGAATACCAGGCCTCCAGAACAACCCTCATCCCCCTGTCCCCAGCCCAAAGGAAACTGCTTGATCTGTATTCTTGGTAAGAGATGCTGAATCGGCTGCCCCTGGGGTGGAAGGACCACACAAGGCAAAAACAGGCTTGCTGTCATTGCAAGAGGCTCAGGCCAGGACTTCCTGTCTAGGGCGGGCTCATGAGTCAGCTTGGACAAGGCTAGGCCAGCTGGGCAGAAGGGAGGTTGGGCTCCACCCGGCCTATGATCTGTACAATGCAAGTACCTGACTCTTGATGCCCTGCTGTGTGATGAAGGTTTTCAGTGCGCCTGTCTCTGAGTTCTGTGGGTAGCCAAAGTCCAGAATCTCTGCAAAAGGAAGGGAATTATTAGCCCCCGGACAAACCTATAGTCACTTTCATTCAAGTTTTCCTGACCTGGGCATGTCTGGTTAGCACAGCTCCCTAAGACTATGTGGAATCATTGCACAAAGTACTCCACCTTTGTAGCATTTACTCTGTGATTTGTAATTCATAAAAAAATCAAATAAGGGGCTGGGGATGTGGCTCAAGCAGTAGCGCGCTTGCCTGGCATGCGTGGGGTGCTGGGTTGGATCCTCAGCACCACATAAAAATAAAATAAAGATATTGTGTCTACCGAAAACTAAAAATAAATATAAAAAAGGGCTGGGAGGAAATACCGAGAATGTAGCTTAGTGATAAAGCACTTGCCCAGCATATACCAGGCCCTGTTCAATACCTAGTAATATAAACAAACATACAAATGAACTAGGGGTATAGCTTAGTAATAGAGTGCTCCTCAGCTCAACCCCCAGTATCACCACAAAAAAAATAAAATTAATAAAACCCTGTTTTTTCAAACAGAGAAGACAGAAAAAAGTCACATGGTCAGTGGGTCAGAAGTGAAGAAACTCTGTACCCCTATTTTTTTCTAGAAAACAGATGCTGAGAAGGTGGAAAAATAACCACCATACCCTACAGGTGAATAAGGAAACAAAGGGCACTCCATGAGGCTTGTAAAATCTCACCCTCCCACATGCTCCAAAGTAGCTGTTGAGATGGAAAGCCGAGACAAGAATGAACTAAGGCTCAAGTCACAAAGAAGAGAGGATGAATTTTGGAGGCTCAGCCACCAAACCTGAGTCAGGCTCTTTAGTCCTATGAAAACCAAAACTTCCCTGCCCCCACCTGCTGGCCTATTTCTCTGTTCTACTTCAGAGCAGTCTTTAAGTCTGGATTTGAACTGGCTTCTCAAGGATAGAGAGATCCTAGCCTGAGAGATCAGGTATGCAGGAAACAAAGTTCAGAGTACATTGGGCTTCAGATCTGCTCCAGTCTCTAGGTCATACCCAATTAGGTTCATTCCCACAAGGCCCACCACTCCCCCAGCCTTACCATCCAGCAGCTCATATATGAGCACAAAATTGTTCTTGATGTTTTCCTCACTGATCTTGCCAAAGTAAGCGGCCATTACGTCACACATCTTATAGAGGAATTCGAAGACCATGGCAGCGTTGACATTTTGCTTGGTGACAGCTGCCAGCCAGATGTTGGACCGCTTAACATGGAAGAAGCTGGTGCGAGCGATGTTGGTGACAGGGCTGCGTACCTGCTGCCGTGCATGGATAACATTGACTCGAAAGGCATCCACTGCATTTCTCCTAAGGGAAAAGGGTGCACAGAGCCTGCTCAGCACCCAGGAAAACCCCACCCCATGGGGGTCAACCACAGCCGATAAAAGCCCCACCCTCCACACTGCTGAAATATGACATGTATTCTAAAGCCAACGTCTAAATCATTAGGGTGGTTCCCTTCTTATGGCTCCCAGTGGGGCCATTGCAGGAGGGTCTGGATTAGGCTAGTATCTGATAGCCATGAGAAAGAGGGAAGTCAAGTGGCAATGGCAGAAAGACAGATGTAATATTAATAAAGTGAGGTTCCTCAAGTTTAGAGAAGTATGTTTCTAACTCCCAGGCCTGGCCCCAATTTCCCACCTATACTTAGTTACCACCTCTCTAGCACCTTCCCAGTAAGCTCCATGCCCAGGAGAGAAAAAGACCCTGTTTCATTTCCACTACTGAGCCCACTGATGGAGAAGGTGGACTCCTCCAAGAAGTTGGACAAAGCCAGTTTGACTTCAGAGAAGGCTTTTATCTACTGGGTAAGAAGTATCAAGGAGCAATGAAGCTATGCCACTCATTCTTGTCCAGTATACAATTCCAGAGCAAGCTTAACTTGCTGTATGAATAAAAAACGATGAAGGAAAAAAAAATGATGGGGGGTTAGGGCCCCCCACCCACTTGTACCTGGGCAGCAGCTTGATACGCCGCTTACCTATTGCTACGGCAGCCAATGAGATGGGATGAGAGAAATGACGCCAGCAAGAAGAGGAGAGTGACAGCAACGAGAGAGAGGGTTAGACACATGACACACCAGGGAGGGCAGCACACACCATGAGGTAGAAGCAGACAAGACAAACAAGGGTAAAGAGCATAGCAGGGCATGCAAGGTAGCATGTAACCTGGCCTTGACTTAATCGTGTAGCTCAGCCATACCACCAAACCAATAGAGAGCCACAAAGGCCGGGCCAAGCCAACCCATCAGCTAGGGAGCCAAGAAGCTGGAGTACTGCAATAGGCCCATGCTGTGACTATTTATCTCAAGCTCTTTGAGGAAGAAAAACAGGTAGCAGGAACCAGAAGAGCCCAATCTCATTAGAGCTGCTGAGGCTATGTAGTTCTCAGTCAGAAAGAAGACATGCAGGGTGGGGCAGAATGAGAAATAAGGCTGTGGCTCCTTCTTAAGGTCTGAGGGAACCAGAACATGGCACTGTCCTAGGAGCATGGCCTCCCTGTCCCTTCTTCAGTGACCCAGAGCGCGCCTTGAGCATGCTTACAACCTCTCCCAGGAATGACCCAGAGGAAGTGAAAACAGCTGAGTCAGCAGCCCAATTCCTCCTGTGAAAGGGAGTGGGAAAGGATTGCCTGGAGAGACTTTTAAGAGAATCCAATGAAGGCTCTCAATGTGAAAAGGGCTTTAAGAACAAGATTTAGATTAGCACTTCGAGCCTGGCACTAACTCCATTCACTGGAGACATCTCCCTATTCCTGAAAGGAGGAATTGACCTGTCTAGGTAAAAACASTTATCTCCAGCAACCAGAACTGTAACTAAGGAACAATGGGAGCAGGAAGGGCAGGAGTTCCTTAAAGATGTAGGGCCCCCTTCATTCCACCGGTCTTGCCTAGCATCCAGAAAACAGGCTGCTAGGCCAATACCACCAGACCTAACAGGAACCAGGCTATATCAGCTGAGCTTCCAGGATGCAGCAAGGGGTGGGGGTGGGGGCCCAAGTCAAACCTGTTGGGATAAGACCTGGTTCTGCATGCTGGGGCTGAGAGGGTGGGGTAGGGGGGACATAGCTGGCTTAGCCAGGGGACTCACCCGATGTCATCTCGGTAGACCCGGGAGATGAGCACCTCCCCCTTGTGATTATAGATGAATAAGCCTCCAATCATGGCGGCAGCTCAGTCTCCTCGGCCCATCGCTCTGAGAACTGACCTAAGGACAGGTGGGGGTGGGGTAAGGGAAGTCTTCAGAACCCTTGCAAATGTCCCCTGTGGGGCTGAACAGGTCACTGGCTCGCTTTTTCCCTGACTCAACCCTCTACTAAGTGACCCTGCAGCCCTCTCAGGCAAGCCCCTCCCCTCAGCTAAGCTCCAGTTCCTGTTTATTCCACACAGGATGGAAGAAACAGACAAGGGCTCAGGATTCTAAGGCCATCTTGACCCTCCCTTTTCTGGAGTCACCCCCACCCTCTCTTCACAGAGCTGAGCTCACCCCCACCCTCTCTCCACAGCGCTGAGCTCAGCAAGGATCCTTTTCAGCCCCCTTCTGTGCAGACTCAGGCTCCAGCCAGTGAGTCACCAAGAAGGCCTGCCTGCGGCTGCAGGAATGGCGGTAGGAATTACTCCAGCTGACTCAGGCCTGGTGCCCCCAGGCACAACCTTTAGAGCACCAAGTCTCTCAGACTCCATTACCCTTCTAAGAAGGCAGCAGAGCCTGAACCTCCAGAAGTCTACACATTCCAGGAAAGGGTGTGGGGGTGGGGGTGGGGAAAGAAGGGAGGCCTTAGGCTCTGATGAGAACCAGGAGTGTGACCAAAGCAGGCACATCTCTCCAGGCAGTCAGATAAGCAGGCAAAGAAGCGGAGGGAAAAGGTCCCAGCACTAGCAAACCACCTTCAGTGACCCAGGCTGCTTATTATAGTGCCCAGAACCATCCTCCCCGCTTTGGGAAAATTTCCAGAGTTCAATAAAAATGAGGGTGTGTGTGTGTGTGTGTGTGTGTGTGTGTGTATGTGTGTGTATGCAGATTCATAAAATTGATCCTTCTAGCTGAAGTTGTGATTCTAAACCTACCAAGTAACTCACTTTTGGCTGAGTGCTTATAAGCAAGGGGCAGGATATCAGAATTATTATACAAATATATATATACAAATTATTTGGGTCAAACTAATTTAGACTGAGAAAAGGGGTTAATTTGGTTCTAGATTTCCTGGATTAGCCCTGGTATTAATTTCACAGGGGGAAGCTTAGCAGACTTTTCTAAAACTGGAAAATAAAGCCTTTTACTGTGGCTGTCACCATCACCCAGACTAGTGAGAAATCTCTCAAGTGATGAAAACATTTCCATCCCTGAGTCCTAAAGAAGGTGAGAGAGGAAATGCAAAATGCAGGTAAAGCCCTGGGCAAAGAACCAAGTCTAAAGGTATCAAGTGGTAGGAAGTTCTGGGCACTGGAGAACTAGAGGTGGGGCTCTGGACAGGAACATAATATTGAGTTAAGAGACTCTGCAGCAGTATACTCAGGTGAATCCCACAGTTGCAAACAGAGCTGGTGGGGCCCCTAAGGAAAAGAGATTGCTGCATGGCAAAGGTCAGGGCTTTGAAGACGAAAAAACAGCAAGGAGAAGTTGACAGTGGCAAATACGGGAAAACTGGAGAGACTGGCCCACTTTGAGCTTTAGGAACAGAAACATGAGCGGATGGTGGGCTTTTCGCTAGGGAAAAAGACATCGTGGGAAGAGATGGTGCCACGGGGTGCGGGGGCTGTCACAAGCCTGAGGAAAAAGAGCCGCGGGGTGTCACTGTGTGAGACCTGTCACCGTCCAAAGAGGCATTACAAAGAGGTGTCACTGTCTTGGGAGATGGAGGAATTGTCCCTGCGCCGAGGACAGGTGTACGCTTTTTCTTTTTTTTTTTTTTTGGGGGGGGGGTCACCATCCTACTCAGGGGGCGCCGCGTGGCGTCCCTGCTCTGGGAGGATTCCGGTCCGTCTCCCTTTCACTAGAGGCGCCCGATGGATCAGGGGGAGGGCGCCGCTCCCCGCCAGTCCTGCAACCGCACCCCAAGCACCCCCGCCCCGCCGTCAGCTCCCTCCCGGGTCTGAAGGCTGAGGCCACTCCCGGGTATGGGCAGCTTTTCACTTAGCGCAGTGCAGGGAAGGGCAAGGCTGAGCAGCGGGACAGGCAACCCGCGGAATTCTCCCCACCCCGTAAGGCCAAATCCCCAGCTCACCTGGCGTCTGCGGCCCCCCGCTCGGCCGGCCCAGCCACTCTCCRGATCCCAAGATGTCCGCCCGCCCCCCTGCTCGCCTGCCCGCTGCCTCGGCTTTCACCGCAGTGCTGCGGCCCCGCCCCAGCCCCAGCTGCGCCTGCGTGCCCGCCTCCCGCACAGACTACAAATCCCGTCAGGCCCCTCGGCCTTCGCGCGGACAGCTCCGAGCGCCCCAGGCTAGGAAAACTACAACTACCGACTGCCTTTGAGAGAACGCCCCCGCCTTCGGGGATTAGGCAGGCACTACCCAGAATACACAGTCCAACACACGGCGCTCCTCCCACTCTATTTTCTTACTGAGCATCCCGGGAAGTGTAGTCTTTGCAGTTTCTACTGTTCCTATTTCGATATTTCCGGAGAGCCTCAGAAGATTAGTGCCGTTTGTTGAAGCTTGTCTGTTAATTTCGAATTGCTGTAGGGCCCTTTCTGTTTCCAGAGTCCAAGGACTAACTGTCTTCACTTTACACACAAACGCAAAACTCGACAGAAGTGTCAGTGCTGAATTTACTGCTTTTTAATACCACCTGTGATTCTCCCATACTTTTCTCTTACTTGTTCCTTTTCCTGGGGATCAAAACTCAAAAAAGGGGAACGGGAGAGAGGAGGCAAATTTTGGAAGAAACTAGGAAGAAAACTTTAATGTGTCAGTGCCCTCCTCAGCTATGCCTGTGTGTGTACCTTCTAGTGGCAGGCAACTCTTTCATATATATATAAATTTATTTTAGTTGGACACAATACATTTATTTTTATTTATTTTTATGTGGTGCTGAGGATCCAACCCAAGGCCTTGCACTTGCAAGGCGAGCACTCTACCGCTGAGCCATAACCTCAGCCCCAGGCACTGGGGCTTAAAAAAATTACAGGTAACTTGTACTTAGTTGGACATGGGATTCAAAATTCCCTGATGAACAGAATTAATCTTTGCATCTGACCTGAGAGAAGACAGTCAACCATGGAATCTGAAATACCTGCCTGGATCTGAAGAAAATCTGTTTGCCTTTCTCTCTCTCCTATCTGAATTATAATTCCCATCCCCCCCACCACCACCACCACCCATGATAGCTTTTCTTCACTCTTTTAAGGACCCAGCTTCTTTCAAGGGCTTTAGTGGTAGTGGGCGGAGTCAGTTCTAAATCAGGGTGGGGGTGTTGGGTGCTTCTGGATGTTACAAGATGGATTCCTGACCACTTTGCTATAAATGTCATAACTCAGTAATACAGCTTGGGAAGCACATAAGTGTTGAAAAAACACTCCCTTTGAAAATATCCCTGATGGCTGGGGGCTTCTAGGATGTTTTGAATGATGAACTTAATGGCCTTGTCCCCACACTGGGCACAGTTCCTGCAGCAAATAGGCCATACATGGCTGCAGCCCTTTTTGGCATGACCATTATTCTTTTTTTTTGTCATCTTGGAATTGAGGACCAGAGATAGCTCTTCTGTTTTGGTAGACAGAGACAGCCTGCTGCCTTCTCTAGGCAGGCTTGAAACTGTCATGGCAGGAAGGAAGGGCAAAAAGGAAAAAGGGGCAAAACTGATTGTGAACCTTACTGTCCCTAGCAGCTTTCTGCCAGAAGTCAGGATACAGCAGAATGAAGATCTGGCCTCTCTCAAACTGTGGTCACATCCTGATTCCATTAAGTGACAGAAAAAAGGCATTTCTAATCCTTTAACCAGCAGCATTCAATGCTTCACTTCTACCTCTGCCAGAATTTTATCTTCCAAATATACTGTAAATACCTGCCAATTTTGAGTAAATAATAATGATCATGATAATAATAATAATAATAATGGTTACCATTTATTGAGCACCTACTCTATCATGTGCCAGGCACTGTGCTAGGCACTTTTCGTACAATATCTAATTTAAATCCTCACAACAACCCTGTGAGGTAGGTATTATTATCATCATTTTACATACGAGAGAACTGAGGCTCAGAGAGGTTAAATAACTCTCCTATCACGCAACCAAAAGGAAATAGAGCTGGAATTCAAACCCAGAACACTCCAAATCCCAGGCTCTGGTAAATTAGAGGTAAAGGGGAAAGAAAGGGCCAAATTCAAGAAAGATTGTTGGAGTGGAAAAGATGTGATATGCTGACTGGTAAGATACAAGAAAGAATTTAAGCCTGTAAATGTTTCTGACTGGTGTGCCTGTGTAGATTGTGATAGTCACTAGGACTGGAATTCAAAAGGAACACACTTGGTTGGGGACATGACTTGAGTCCATATAGACATGTCCGTGGTGATGTTCAGTGGTTAATAAAAATACAGATCTGAAGATTGAGGGAATTTGGGGTTATATTTTTGGGAATCACCAGCATATCAGCAGCAATTGAGGACATCAGGATTGATGAGACCATTTTGGGAAAAAATACAGAAGAAAGAGAAGTGGACCAAAGAAGGAACAATGTAAGAATTGACACTGAAGGTATAGTATAGTAGAGGTGTTCTCAACAAAGCAAGACGAGGCAGAGTTAGAGGAGTACAGGAGATGGCCCTGTAGTGGTGGCTAGAAGAAGCCACAGCCTGGTTGGGAGTAAACTCGAAGCTTCCAGAAGGCAAGCAAGATTGAGTCACGTGTCCAACACAGCACTTTGTTCACTAAAACCCCAGAAGTATTTGTTGTATGAAAGAATGTCAAAATGCCCCTACTTTGGTTTGCCCTAAAACCTGGGCTAAGGATTTCATATTACTCTTGACACCCTGTCCCTAAAAATATGGGAGCCTGGGCAAGTCAGGAGAATTTAAAGCACAGGCTAGAAGTGAAAGTTGTGATTTGTTTAAAGTGGAGAATAAGGTTAAAAAAAAAAAAAACAAAAACTGGAACTCTGTTTGAAAGTCCTGGAAGCCCTCTTGCCCAACTCCCAACTGGCCTATGGGTTCCTGTCCTTGTTCTGGAGTGTCACGGTGTATGCAAACTGGGAAGTGTGTGTGTGTGTGTGTGTGTGTGTGTGTGTGTTGGGGTATGTGTGAGATGGCCTGTCAGTTACCTGGAGAGTTCTCTGTTGAGCCCAGCCTGAGACTCAGCTTATAGGCTTATCCAGGTAGGAAAATGTTGGGGATATGTGGCTTGAGGGCTATGAGTAAGGGGAGAGGAAAGTCAGGGGACCAGCCCCACTATCTAGGAAAGGACTTGGAGAGAGGGTCCAGCCCTCTGGGCAGGGTCCAGCCCTGAGGCTTAAGTGAACTTGCATAGGCACCTGTGTGTATTTGTATATGTGTGTGTGTTTGTGTGTGTGTGAGTGAGAGAGAGAGGGTGGGTAGGGGAGAGATATAGAGGGGAAGAATATTCTATGGAAAAGAGAACAGGRTCCTTGTGCATGGGTAAGGCTGAGGCCCTTCCCAGAAGCCTAGAAATACTGAAGTGTGGGTGTAGGGGCTGGACATCCTTGGGAAGCCCCGAGGGGCTCCTGAAGCAGGGTTCCTGGTCTCCTCGGAGGCTGGGCCTCCCCTTGCTGGGGGGTTCACAGAAAGTCAAACAGCCCGAAATTCTTGGCTGCTCCAGGCCAAGGGAAAATTGGGGGAAGAAAAAAGAAAGAAAAGAAATGTTTCAGCCGGGAGATGAGATGAGCCTGCCAGTTAGTAGGGTTAGGGTCTGATGGAACCAGCACACAGGTCAGGCATAGGAGCAAGGGATCCAGCAGAGATGCTCTCTGGAAGCCACTAGCTGCTCCAGCACCTGAGGGGGCCTTCTGGCTTCTGATCAGGAATAGGTACAGGCAGGGGTAAACAGCATGAATAGCTACTGAAGGGTGACTATAGCTCCGGTGCAGGACTGAGGCAGCAGGCAGGGGAGAGTTAGGTAGGGCAGATGAAGTGACTTTTTTGGTGTCAGTACTGTGGGGCAAAATCAAGAGATTTGCACACATGCTTGAGAGGGTGGACTTAATACCAGGATGGTGTAGCTGAATGAATGAAGGGGAACAAAGGGAGAAGGGGGTACCCCCCAAGGACACCACTGGGGTCAGCTCTTAAAGTGTGTGAGGATGGGGCAGAGGGAAGTAAGCACCAGCAAGTGAGGACTCGGGGACATGAAGGATCCTGGGAAGTCCCCCTAAGGTTAGTGAGCAGAGGGAACAAGCTAGGCCAGAGCCGGGTTAGGGAATGCAGAGCTGACTGGTAGATACACCCTGCCCTGGCTGCGCCCAGCGAGCAGTTAGCTAGCGCGCCTGGATTTAGTTGCATTTATTTCCCTTTCAGGTACCAGACAAAGTAAAAAAGACGGACGGACAGTTGGAGAGAGGGACGGGGTGCGGGGTGGGATGGCAGTGGGGGAGAGGCCCTGCTCACATCACATCCACAAAGAACTCACTGGGGTTTCCCATGGCCATGCGGAAGGACTGTCTGCTGGCGGTCAGTTCTGGGGGCACCGAGGCCAGGTCGCGGCCGGGAGGGGCTCCTGGGGGCCCCATGGCTGCAGGCGGCGGGGGCATCATCAGCATTGGGGGGCCGTAGAGAGGGGGCACTCCTGGAGGGCCATAGCTTGGGTGCGTGTGGTGGCTGCGCAGGCTGCTGGCCAGTGAATGGTGGCTGCGGTGGCTATGCTCGCTGGCCGCGGGCCCTGAGCGCTCACTGGGTGCCCGCTCTCGTGGCCCCCGCAGGCTGCTGCGTGTCGTGTGGTCCGACTCACTGCCGCTGCCGCCGGACTTGGAGTCTCCAGCCTTTGGGTCCTTCTCCTTCCGACGATCGCTGCCACTACGGTTTGAGCCACTGCTCCGACTGCCTGTGGAGGATAAGCAGGGCCGGGGTGGGGAGCACTCAGAGCTGACACCCTGGACTCACCTGTAGTTCCCTCCATGGTTCCCTCCGCCGTAATTACCTTCACTGTGTTGACTGCTGGCGCTGCCCCCACCATAGCTGTAGCCTAGCTCCGGGAAGCCTGGGTGGGGGTTGTAGGGGTGTGGGGGTGGTGGGTACTGGTAAGGGAAAGCCATAGGCCAAGGGGCAGCCCCCGGGTGTGGCAAAGGGGCCAGCGTATCTTGGTCAGAGGCACCGCTGGAACCGTCGTGGTCGTGGAGGGACAGGTTGGCCATGTCTGTGGAGGAAAGGCTGGGTAAGCTGAGTCTATTCCCTGTCCCCTGGACTCCTTGATCAGGAGAGGGGTTCCTGGCCTAGGTCAGGTGGTAGACAACACTGGTAGTTTCTGGTCAGAATGGGAGTAGGTATGGCACAAGCCAGAGAGCTCACCCTTTCTGCACAACTCCTGGCCATTACCTCAACAGCCCCGGAGACCCTCCTCAGGAAACCCAAGTCATCATTTAAGATTCTGGGTCAATCCCAATATCCAACTCCCAGAATCTGGGAGGACCCTTCTAAATTTGTAGTGTTCTCTCCTTCCTTGTCAGTGGACTGAAAGAAGGGATAAGACTGCTATTCAGCCTTTTTCTCTTTTGTTCACTTAGAGGGTCCTGGGTCAGGGAATGTGGAAGACATTCTGTAGGTAATGCACACCTATGCTTCATTAAGCATACCACACAGCACTCCATCTCCCTCAAAGACTGCCACGACCCATACAGGAATTCTTCACTTTTCCAGATAAGGAAAGTCAAATCCAGAGAAGTTAAAAGAGCAGCCTGAGGTCAACCTAAACTATAGGTAGAACAGAAACTAAGAGTTGCTTGCTTTCTCTTTACCTCTCCAGATGAGGTCATTAGTTAGAAACAGGGAGCAGTTTGGGGAAATGGTAGTGAAATTTTACCCTGTCTATATATATATATATATATATATATATATATATATATATATAGATGGGCTTCATATATATATATATGAAGCCCAGAACATGGGGCCTTTTAGAGGCCCCTTATAGAAGACTCTTGCCTTTATCACATTTTCCTGGTACTGCTTGGGTGTGGCTGGACATAAAGTGGGAAGGGCCAGACAGAACAACATGGGTACCTCTGGCCTGGCACCAACTCATTCTATCATCACTTATTTCATGACTGGCTTCCTGGGAGAAACTGTGTGTTCCTTAAGAGCCAGGCTGCCTGTGTCAATGCTAGAACTATCTTAAAGTGAGCATAATGGGATACCCCTTGCTCACACACCACCTCTATAAGTCCTACAGCTCATACAAATGAGCTCTTCCTCCAAGCCCTCAGGTGAGTCAGCCCAGCCTTGCAAGGAAAAATCTGGAAGAGGGGCTCTGAGGTGGCCTGTAGAACCTGCCAGCCAAGCTATCAATCCGTCAAATGGACAGCAGCAGTATGAGGCAGGGTAGAGGGAAACAGTAATTTTTCTTTGCTCACTTCCAAAGAGCTGGTGATGACTTTATCCTGCATGCTATTGTCCTGGGAAGTAATTGTGTGCTCTTGGGGAGAAACTGAGGCCCCCACACTGCTACACTCTCAGCTTTGGCCAAATGAGAAGGAAAAGGCTCTTCTATCAGCATCACCCTGAGTTGGGCCTTGGGTGGCCTGGGGCCCTGGGTGGAAGATCCAGGTAGGCTCAGGGAAGAAACAATGTTTTGAGCAAAGGCCATAGCTGCCTTGGAAGCTTTAGGTGTCCCTAGAGGTTGAAGGTCAGGGATTAGTTCTGCTAATGATGAAAATAATAACCACATTCCAATGAATCTAAGAAGCTATTGATTACAAGACGTATCCCAATTTCAGATATTGAAATATGAAAAAAAGAGTGCATTTTGGAATCAATTAAATATATAAACATGGACAACTTTTATAGACTATTTACCACGAGCCATACACTACACTAAGAGCATATATCTTATTCTCCAAAAAAAAAAAAAAAAAAAAAAAATTCCTATGAGAGCTCCATCTTACAGAATCTTACAGAATCTCTAAGAGGCTAGATCACTTACTCTTACCTCACACAGTAAGGATGAAGCTAGGATTTGAACATAGAACTGCCAAATTCCAAAATCTTATGCATCTATCACTACTCCATGGGGCCATACTTGAATTGCTAAGGGCTAGGGATCCTACTCTCCTCCCACAGACTGTGTTCTGAAGGATCAGTCATTCTAACATTCTAGTGCCTAGAACCTAACCTGAAGCATTTTTTTTTTAAGCTGTAGATGGACACAGTATTTTTATTTATTTTTATGTGGTGCTGAGGATCAAACCCAGTGCCTCACACATACTAGTCAAGTGTTCTACCACTGAGCTACAACTACAGCCCTAACTTGAAGCATTTTAAGAGTTAGCTTTAGATACCTATTGGCACTATTGGGCAGAGGTTGCTGCTGAGGTGGAACCTCAGCTCCCAGCCCTGAGCAGTGCTATACTGTTCTAAGAACTCCTTACCCTAAGGATTATCCACAGGCTAAAGAGAAAGGAGGTTCCTTGTAGACCTCTACTACTTAAGAACTTGCACTGTTTTTGTGCCCTCTCAGGATCAAGTCAAAACTCCTTGGTATGGCTTACAGAATCCTCTGCCACCTGGTCTTGACAGCTTCTCCAGCTTCATCTTATAGCACAGCCTGCCGTCAGGGGTCTGAGGCAGATCCTACCCTAGTCAGTTCCAGATCCTCCTTGGTTCAGAGACCAAGGGCAGGTACTCTGTTTAGCATCACTGAGAAAATGTTTCTGAAGTACCACACACCCAGGGCAGCCCAGGTAGTGAGAAGAAACTGGTTCTGAGGCTTAACACCTATGCTACTAGTTGTGAGACCTGGGGCAGACTATTTCCCACTGAGAAATCTGTTTCCTCATCTGAGAACATGGATAGTAATCCTCCCTGCTTCTGGGGGAATTATGAGGATCCAGCAAGAGAGTGAGATAATACTTTTAGAAACTACCAACACTGTCAGGCTCAGAACATGCACTTAGAGCATGCCAGGCCCAAGAAGAGAGGTGGGGCAGGTGAAGAGATTAGATAGGACTGTTTCCACCACACCAATTCTCAGGCCTTGAATCAGGCCCCAGCTCTGCTGAGCCCCATCTATGTTCCCTGGAGTCTGCTGCCATATCCCTGGGCACTCCCCATTCCCAACCAGGAGGCAGGGCAAGAAGGTCAGTGAAACACGTACTGCCGCAGAGGTCTCCGAAGATGTAGTAGCACTGTTCAGAGAAGGTGATCTTGTTGACAGTGTGGCGGATGAAGCCAGCTTTCAGCAGGTTGCTGGCATACTTGCGGGCCTCCCGCCGGTCAGTGAAGCCTTCGACATTGTGGTACAGCCAGTCTACCACATCTGAGCCTGAGGATAAGGCTGCCAGTTGATTGGGAGGCCCATCTGATTTGGGTTCAGCTGGTCTCATAGAAGCTATGAGGCTGGGGCTGGTTCCAGCTCAAAGGAGTGGCCCAAAGGAGTTATTGAGTCCCCCACCCCTGGCCTGCCCTGTCTGATCATTTCCCACCCAATCCTTCATCCCTCCATGGGGCTTTCTCACCGATAAAAGCGTTAGGAATGGTAATCTTGAGCCACATGCGATCTCGGACCTCCAACCCTGATTCAGGGGAGGCCATGGCTTTTACGATGGCGGCCATGTCACTGTGGATGGACAGATGGAAGTCGTCCAGGCCTGGGGGTGGGAGGCAGAATGGTGAGGCAGAAAGGGGCTTTGGAGTTAGGTAAATAAGAATTTGCATTCCGGCTATACCAAACAATAATTACAGATCAATCCTGGACAAATTACTGATTTCTTGGACACTCAGTTTTCTCTTCCATAAAAATGGGGATTTTAATATCTATTTACAAGGATATTTGAGTTCAGTTACATAAAGGAAGGTACTTAGCACAATGCCTACATGTATAATAATAAAAATGACACCCATTTAGTAAGCCATAATGCTTACTTTATGCCACATACCAATGGTGCTTCACTTATAGCTTCTTATTGAACCCATAGGAACCTGGTAAAGTATATATTAATAGTCCCATTTTACAAGAGGAAACTGAGGCTCTCTGGGTGCTCAATGCAGGTTCAGAAGCAAACAATATTTAGTGAAGATCCATAAAGTGCCCACTGGGAGAAATCGCAGTGTGAGGTAACTGGAATGAGTGGCGTCCCCTCTCTGGTCCTCCTGGGTGCTTACGTTGCCCCTCATCAGTCCTCCCACTTGGCTCTGTCTGCTGCCCAGAGAACAGGGTTAGACACTCACGCTCTGTGTCAGGGATGGAGCTGGTGATGGAGGAGCTGGTGGAGGTGATTGTGCTCAGGGAGGGGCTCATGCCATAGGCAGGGAAGGTGCCCGTCATGGCTGCAGTGTGAGAGACCCAGGCCGCAGGGTCAATGGGCCGGATGGGCTCACCTGCAGGGAGGATGAGGAGTCACAGGCTGCTCACCCTGACCACTTCTGGGCCCAACAGGCAGGTGTGGGGGTTCAGGGAAACACAGCAGAAATGAGGGAAAGGGATCACAGATGCTCGATATCAGCTTTAAGAATGAGCTCCCCCCACATCTACTCACTCCTGGGTAATGTGAAGCAACCACGTGGACTTGGGTCCCAGCACTTGGCTACAGTCAGGGTAATGGGCCTGAAAACAARGATTGAGGGTAGAATGTGTGGAGGCCAGATCAAGCCTCTTGCATGATAACCAGAAATGTCTACCCCATCCTCCCCAGTGCTCTATTCCATTCATACCCTGGTTTGTGCACAATCTCCCGTAGTACCCGAACTGCATCATCATTACTCATGTTCTCAAAGTTGATCTCATTTACCTAAGAAAGAGGACCAGGAGTTGGGTAATAGACTATGCAGGGGAGAGGGGCAGGGGAGCTGAGTTTGTGGGTCAGGAAGTCTTCCTCCAGAGGGCAGGGACTCCTCCCAACCCTCTATCCACACCACTACCCAGGGTGGGCAATGATACCTGTAACAGCATATCTCCTGGTTCGATGCGTCCATCAGCAGCCACAGCCCCACCTTTCATGATAGAGCCAATGTAGATGCCTCCGTCACCACGCTCATTGCTTTGGCCCACAATGGAGATGCCCAAGAAGTTATACTTCTCTACAGGAAGTAATTTAACAGCTTGAGAGGAGCAAGAGTCCTATCCAAATTACCAACACCTTATTAGAACAGGGTGGAAAGGGACAAAAACTGACATGTACTAAACCCAAATCAGGCACTGTATATATAGTGCACTTACCCATGATTTCATTCAATCTTTGCTGGCTGTGGTGCAGAGACTCTTTGTCTCATTTTACAGATCACGCAAGTGAAGTTTAGTGAATTTAAGTGACTTTTCTAAGCCAATAACTGACAGAATTCAAACTCAAATTTCTAAGTTCTCAAATTGGGTTCTTTTCACTACATCCAGCTGTCTCCTTTATACAGTCTGTTGGAACCAGGTGTGGCGGTACACACCTGTAATCCCTAGTTACTTGGAAGGCTGAGGCAGGAGAATCTCAAGTTCAAGACCAGCCTCAGCAATTCAGTGAAAACCGGGGATATAGCTCAGTGGTAGGGCACTTGCCTGGCATACATCAGGGTTCATTTCCCAAGACCACAACCAAAAGCAGGGGGAAAAAAAAAAGAATACCTAGGGCATAAACTAGAGAGCAAGGATGCAATGACTAAAGATGGCAAGGGGCAGGAAACCCAGAAACCACTTGCTCCAAGAAGGCTTCCCTGGTGCCATTTCTGCTTCCACAGCTCTCTGTGCTTATATCTGTCATAGCTCTGACCATGAGGTACTGAAGTGATCTGTGTTAAGTTTCAGCTAATGTTTATACAAGAGAACTCTTTGAGGATAAAGTTCAAATCTTGTGTCTCCCAGAACCCCTCATGCCTGCCCAGTGTCTGGCATACAGTAGGTGCTCAAGAGTATTGTTTCCCCAGACTCACCCATGTTGAGAGTAACTGTGATGATGTTGAGAGACATGGTAGAGTCTGTGATGCTGCTGAAGGATGAGGACTGGAAGAGACAGAGGCCCTGAGCTGCAGGTGGGGGTGGCAGGAACTCACTGTTCCTACCTGGTTCCTCCTCAGCACTACTCCCCTCACCCTCTATGGTTCTAGATGCTGAACCAAAGGGAAGGGTTCTGAGGAAGAACAAGCTGAGCCTGCCTGGAAAGGGCTCACAATCTGCTCCCACCCATCCTGAGCATCCCAGGCCCCATACCCGCTCAATCCGTGAGACCTTCTGCTTCCGCCGCCGCCGCTTGTGTCTTCTCATCAGGCGTGAGGCACTGCTCTGTTCTGTGGAGCTGCTGAACCTGTGGGGCCCACAGTCGTTCCCCACCAGGCTGGCCCAGCCCTGCTCTACAAGAGGCACTGCAGGGCCCAGGTGCCCAACACAAAGCCCACATCCCTCCCAGGAGCCAGTATCCTCAGGGTTTAGGGCTCCTTGGGGTCACCTGCCCCACAGTACCCATGAAACTAAAGCCCCACCTGCTGGTAGAATCCTCCTCATCTGAATCAAAGAAGCTGGTGGTCTCCAGCTCACTGCTCATAAGGGTGGACGAGCTATCATAACCACCAGGCTCTCGCCGCCGCTCCCCCTTTGCAGTTCCATTTAGCCGGGTTGCTGCAGGAGATGGAGGCAGCTGCGTTCACACTATGCTTAGTTCAGGGGAAAAGAGGTGAGAGGCCCAGGCCAGAGGCTACTCTGGGGCTAGGCATAGCCAGAGCTCAGGACACAGGGCAGAGAGGTGGGACTGGAAAGATGTGGAAAAGGAGTAGGGGTGGGGAAGGCAATCCTATTTGGGAAGACACACCATGCTCTGGGCCATCCCTCCGACGTGGCCGCTCCCGCTGGGCAGATACCAAGGAATCTGTCTCTGTGTCATTGTCCAGGTTCTCCTGGCTGCCCCCACCAGCATGAGGGCTGCAGGGAAGAGAGGACTTGGTAGAGGAGGGGGCAGGCTGGGGGTTCCCTCCCCCAGCCCTGGGCTGAGCTGATGCAGTCCTCTCCCATGGGCCCTCCCCACTCTCGGCTCATACTCACTGGAAGGATGGGGGTCGGGAGTCCCCGATTCCTCCTGTGCGCTCCATAGGTGGTGGCAGCTCTGATGGGTTATCAGCACAGAAGGGGGCTGGCTCTGGGTGTGAGCCCTCAGCTGATACCAGCTGATGGGGAGACATTGAGTGAGATCTATGTGACAGGGGGCACCAGGGAGATGGGGATGGGGAATTGGCTTCCGGCAGGGCATGAAGGCCTGGGAGAATGAAGCAGGGAGAAGAGACAGGACTATGCAAGGGCAACTGAGGTGAGGAATGGCCCCAGAACCAAGTTGAGGGGGCTCTTGGAGGCATGGGTTGCTCAAGCAGAGTGGGGGATGGAGAAAAGGGTCGGTGGTCCCAGGCAGCGGTCGCCAGGTAACAGCAGGTATCTTACTAGCATAGGAGATATTTTTATCTCCACATGTGTTTCTGTTTCTTCCCTTCATCCCTTCCCACCACTCCCACTTTTCATTAAAGTTGAGAAAGCTGGGGTGAGAAATAGTTCAGTTAGAAAACTAAAGGAAAATTCAGATACTGAAGCATAAAACTCCCAGCTACGATCTCAGTGATGCCTTCCCTCCCTCACAGGCATGCAAGCAGATAGAGACTGAGGCCTCCTTACCCAGGACACCACGCGGCCATTGAAGCAGGGTAGCTTAGCATTGTCATCTGAGATCTCCTCCTTCACAACTCTGTAGGGAAAGAGGGATGTAAGAGAGAACTTTCTGGCATGTACATGGAAGGTCCTCGCAATCCCAGTTGTACTCCATCCTAAACCGTGATTTAAACTACCAGCATAAGACTGTTCAAATGGGAATAAGGGAGGTGACCCAGGGACATCTCTTTAGCACCACCAGGAAGACACCAGCTCTGTTTGGGCCAGCTATCTTTCTGGGGCATCCTCTAAGTCATTAGAGATCATGCCATTTCCTATAACCCCCAAAGTGTTTTACCCAACCTCCATGTGGCTTCCCTGGGCTGGACTTTCTCTTTTCCTCAGAGTCCCAAATTGGGAAAAAGGACACAATTATTGTGCTGGTGTTGTGGCTCAGTGGTAGAGCTTGCCTAGTATGTGTGAGGCCCTGGGTTCACTCCTCAGCACCACATAAAAATAAATAAATATAGGTATTGTGTCCATCTTCAACTAAAAAAATATTTTTTAAAAAAGGACATAATTGGGGGCTGGGGATATGGCTCGCTGGTAGAGTGCTTGCCTTGCATGCACAAGGCCCTGGGTTCAATCCCCAGCACCACAGGTGGTAGTGCGCACAGTGATAGTGCACTTGCCAAATATGTGTGATGCCAAATATGCATGAGGCACTGGCTTGGATCCCCATCAACACATTAAAAAATATACATAAATAAAGTAAAGGTGTTGTGATCACTACAACCAAATAAAAAAATATAAAATTAAATTAAACAAACAAAAAGGATATAATTATTACTGATCTTCCCTTTACAACTTGGAATCCTGACATTGTTCTGGGAGGTATGGACAAGGAGATTAGGAAATTAAGAAATAAGGGGAGAAGGTGTTTACTAAACATCTTCCATATACCATCAAGATAACTAATAGTAACAACTGCTCTCATTTATTAAGCAAGCATAATAGGCTGAGCATTTTGCTAGGTGCTTTACTTATATCATTTCATCTAATACTGCAATGCTATGAGGTTGGGGCAGATGGGAAACCAGGTTCAATATGTTCAGTAATTCACCTAAACTTACACTACTAGTACACTAAAAGCTCACATTTGAACCTTGGTCAGCCTGACTCTAAAGTCTCTATTCTTACCTATTATACCAGCTTCTATCTCTATATTTAGAACATATAATTTTCACATCAGTCTCATATGTAGACAATATGATCCATATTTCATGAATAAGGAAACTGACAGACATTCAGTGTCTTATCCAGGGTCATGAAGCTCATGGATGTTAGAGCTGGAATTCAATCACAGGCTCATTTAATACTAAACCTACACTCTTCCCACTGTATTCTTTCCTGTGCAATGATAAAGGTAGCATGGGTTTATGAGGAGGTAGGTGGTGAGAGGACACTGAAATGGGGCATGCAGGGTATGGGATGTGGTCATGGCTTGTAGTTTGGTTTGAGGAACGTGGTGAGGTAAGAAGTCAAACACTGGCTAGGTTTGGGGCAGGGAAGAGAATGGAAAAGTTTGAGGACTGTCAAGACTGTCAAACACATGGTACATTTGAGCAGAGAGGGATGACAGCGAGGGAGGAGGCTGGGAAGACCACTCCTCCCTCATTCTTAGAGCAGCTTCTGCCTAGAGTCAGGAACATGCTTGGCTCCTTAGGATGCTCACATTCTTGGACTCAAAGCCAAGTTCCCAGGCCAAGCCTGCCCTCTTCCCTCCCATCTAGCTCTGGCTCCCCACCATTTCCAACCCCACAGTGACCCTAAAAAAACAGCCCAAATCATTATCCTCGGGTTCATGATGGCAGAGAGCCTAGAGACAAAATAGGCTGGAAAGAAGTGACAGAGAGGTCTGGCCAGAGGATACCTCAAGCAGACTCACATGAGAGCCAAAGCTGAAAGGAAAAGGAGGTGCATGTGCATGGACTGTATGTCCTACTTTGGAGAGGGTCTCCCTGTGTGGGAAACTGCTGCTGAGTCTCCCCGACCTCCCCTAGCAGGCCCCACCACGCTGCTCCACACTACAGATGTTTCCTCTCTTTCTGGGGGTCACCGACAGGTCGCCAAGGCTCTGCTGACTCACAATGATCAGCTGATCCTCAGCAGCCTTGAGGGACCTCAGACAGCCTGTACTCTTCTATCATAGAGCTGAATGGCTCAGGGTTCCATAGCACTCATGTACCCGCGCCCCACAGTCTCGTTCTTTAACACCTGTCTCCCATTCCCCCATGGAGTCAGACAAATATACATTCAAATTTCCTCCCATTATTAGCCCTCCCACCCTAACTTTTCCAAGGCTTTGACTTGTACTAGTAAGTGGGATTCTTAAATGCATGGTCAGGCATATAATAAAACTAGTTACTAACTCTACCAACTTTTGGTGAGATTCACACTCTCTTTCTAACTAGATGTAAGTTTTTAAAAGCAGGGACCAAACAAATCTTCTCATCATTCATCGTTCATCCAAATAAAAAGCTTTTGCTGAGCCAGGTGCAGTGGTGCATGCCTGTAACCCCAGCTACTCAGAAGGCTGAGGCAGGAGAATCACAAGTGCAGGCCCAGGATCGGCAACTTAGCAAGTCCCTGTCTCAAAATAAAAAAAAAAAAAATTAAAAAGGGGATGTTGCTAAGTGGTATAGCACCCCTGGGTTCCATCCTAGTATCACACGCACACTCAAGCTTTATTAAGAGCCCAGTGGGCTTTAGGTCCCGTGATACTACAGGACTGTATGAAGCACCAGGCCTGGACTAAGGACTCTGAGAGGTTACAATCCAGTGGGTAGATTTGGTAAGCATATTGCAAGAGGGGAGAAGTTAGAGCCTCAAAGCAACAGGTGTGTCTACTGGATAGACATCTGCTGAGTGTTACTTAGGTGTCAGAGATGGCTAGGAACTGGGTAGAGATGTAAGGATGAGGGATTTGAACCTAGAGAAGACAGGGGAAGAGTGTCCCAGGCAGAAGGTCCTGAGACAGAGCAGTGGTGATATGGAGAGGAAGCAACACAGTTTCCTAACTTACTATGGTACCCCCTCCCACAGCTCAAGGTCAGATTAGCAGCGGGGACCCCATTATTTATCTACCATCTCCTTAGTGCTGAAAATGTTTATCCTTCTTCCATTACTCCACATAAGAGTGCTGGGCCTACCCTAGGTTTGACAAACACTTGTGGAGGTCAGATGGGACTTGGAGGGGTCCTCAGATCTCACATCCTAACCTCAGAGGGTAAGCCTAGAGAAGAGAGACTGTTGGTGGGACAGCAGTCTTTCTCTTCTAATGTTCTTTCCCTCCTGTCAGCAGAGGTCCCTAGTGTGGGCTCAATAAGTGGAAGCCCTATCCACCTCCCTAGTTTGCCAAATCCACCATCTCCCAGAAAAGGAGCATCTGTAAAATGGTGATAACAATCATACCTACAAAAAACCTGTGTGACTAAGGTTTTAAACTTTGGAGCCAGATTACTGATGTCAGTAAAGCTCTGTCACTTACTAGCTGTGTGACCTTGGGCAAGTTACTTAAGCATTCTGTGCTCTAATTTCCTCACTTGTACCACCTATTTCATAGGGGTTTGTATCACTATTTCATAGGGCTATCATGAAGATTCTGTGAGTAAAGATTTGCAAAGGGCTGGGGATGTGGCTCAAGCTGTAGCGCGCTCGCCTGGCATGCGTGCGGCCCGGGGTTCGATCCTCAGCACCACATACCAACAAAGATGTTGTGTCCGCCGAGAACTAAGAAATAAATATTAAAAATTCTCTCTCTCCCTCTCTCACTCTCTCTTTAAAAAAAAAAAAAAAGATTTGCAAAGCATTTAGATCAGTGTCTGGCACAGTGTAAGCACCATTTTTAAAAGTTTGTAAAATAAACACACTGTATATACACTCCTTGGCTAGTTTTCTGTGACCAGATAGCCCTACCAGGTCTCCTACTCATTTACCCTTCTGGGGCTAAAATCGTTTAATCCATCAATGTCCTATTTTTCTACCACTGAGCTACATGTCCAGTTCATTTTCTTTTTTATTTTGAGATAAGGTCTTGCTAACTCAGGATGGCCTCCAACTTGCAATCCTCCTGCCTCAGCCTCCCCAGTTGGTGGGATTAGAGGCATGCACAACAATGCCCAGTTTCTCCACTTTATTTTTAGCATTATTCTCAATCCTGTTAAAATAGTCAACTCTAATATCCTTCAAGTACCATTGATGTATGCAAGATAACTTCAGGGGGTACATGATAAATATTGCTTAGATCAATGTTTACTTATAACAAAATTTAGAAAGAAATATAAACAGAAAATGAGATCTGTGGTTGATTTTGTATTATTAGTGGGTCAAGCTTAGGAAAAAAAAGAGAGGGTTAACAGTAAATTTGAAGAACAATATTAAATAAACTGTAAGAGGATGTAATGAGTGCCCTCTAATAACTGCAGCTAGGTCTGGCTTAACAGAAGCCATGGGAGAGTGGGAGGCAGCACAGAATGGTCTGCTTAGAAGGCAGGGGCAAGATGGGGGATGTTGATACAGACCTATTTCAATTTTCTTCAAGGCATTTGGTCCCAGCATAGAGGGCTCTGAATGACTTTCTCCCATCCTATACCCCAAGGCAGCATCAGTCCTTTCGGACCCTATTTTTTTCTGCCTGCCAAGCTGAAGTACCCACCTCCTGATCTCCAAAGCTTCCTGACTGATTTTCTTTACAGTCTTCCAATCAGGCATGTCTGCCTCAGACTGAAACCAGACAATCATCACCACACTCCAGGGGAGGAAGAACAACAGAACCAAGAATAGAAAGAAACTACCTAGTATACTCCCCACTGTACAAAGCACTTTCACACACACGATTTCATGGGTTCATCCAATTCTGAGTTCCAGGAGAGAAGGGGACAAAAAACATGCCAGGCAGCAGACAGAAGGTGCTTTACTCCCTGATGCCAGGAGGGCCTGGGTCTGGGGAGAAGAGCCATGCTGAAGAACACTGGGGAGAAGAATATCTCCCCTGACTCAGCTCTGAGGCCTCAGCTGCAAAGAGCAGCTAGGSCTGGAGAGACAGCCTTCAGGCCTGGTGGACCAGGGAGGCCTTCCCAGTGGCCTCCAGGCCCAGCGCCCAGTTAGTGCAGGGCAGGCTAGTGTGGGGGCCTCCCCCTCCCCCAGTCCCCTGGGAGTTGGAGGGGGGGGGATCAGCCAGGCTCCCCCTCCCAGGCCAGCTGCTACAGAACCTTCCGGCTGCAACATTCCAACCCCTCTTAAAGGGGCAGTGGCTGCTTCCAAACTCTGCCTGTCCAAAGCCCTGTAGCTGGGCAGAGGGGAAGACCCGCACCAGCGAGGGGAACATGGAGAATGCCAAGAGGCAATTCCTGGCGTTTCCACCCAGGCTCTAAGGCCCTTTCCAATGTCTCTCCCTGAGCCACCATCTGGAGGAAAAATTGGGAAGGAAGATCACCACCTGGATTAGTGAGGTCTGTTTCTCAGGGGCAGGCACTCTGCTCAGCCCACATGATCCCCATCAGCCCACATGGGCGGTAAATAAACATAAGGTCTGCAGGCCCTAGCTTCCAGCCTGGCGGAGCACCCTCAACTCCCCTTTTCCCCAGTTCCCACAGCATAGCCCTTGGATGCGGGACCAAATATGGCTCTGGGTTGTGGAGCTGAAAAGATAGGGAAGGCAAGCCGGAGCCAAATGCCCCAAAACTATGTTAAAAAGGAGGCTCCCTGGAAGGAGGAGGGTTGAAGACTCTGGAACTGGGTGGAGGGGGGGGTGTGTCTGTCTATGTGGGCCACTGGCCTCTAGGGAGGTGAGGGGCTTGACTGGCAGGAACTAAATTGCTTTGGGGGCCTCGGACGACGCTCCCGACACCCGAGAGGAGAATTAGGAGTCTCTAAAAGGACTGGAACTCCAACCCCCCAAAAGCAGAGAGGAGCTCCAATGGATCGAGTCGCCTCTTTGCAGCGAGTGGGGATAGAAGTCAACATGGCCAGGGAAGTCCAAACTGGCCGCGTCGGCCCCTGGAAGCCGAGCGCCGGGGCTCCCCGGAGGCCAGGCCGGGGCCGTCCTCACCCGAAATCATCGTCCATAGACTTGAAGAAGAACTTGTAGCTGGGTCGCTGCAGAACGCCCTTAAAGTCCGCCAAGGTGACGCGCTCGGCGGGCAGGGGCAGCTTCACCAGGTACGGCGTCTCCTGCCCGTCCAGGTGGTAGATGATCTTGGTTTCGCCCATGGCTCCGGCCTCGGGCCGGGTGGCCCGCGCGCGGCCTGCTAGGGCGGCCGGGCCGGGCCTCTCGGGCGGCGGCGGCGCTCGGCGCGGCCCAGCGGCTCAGCCCCGCTCGGCGGCCGGCCGCGGCGCCAGCTCCCTTGTTCTCCGGCCTCTCCCGGGTCCCAGCGCCGCCTGCCGCCGCTGCTTCCGCTCCCCACTCTCCCGGCTCGGCTGGCCACAGCAATTCTTCCGGTGGCCGTGGCCCTCCCGGCTCTGGGCTGCGGCCGGGCCCGCTCCCCTCCCCCGGCCCGGGCCCCGCCCCGGCGCGGCCCCGCCTCTGGCCGCCGCGGAGCCGCGCTGGCCTCGCCGCTGATGGCCGGGCCTGGGCCTGGCCTGCCGACTCCCCGCCCACCCTTCGGGCGGCGGCGCTTGCCTCTGGCGCTCGGGTCCCAGGCCCTCACAGATGGAAGGGGAGGTCTTTGCTGGATGACTCTGTTCCCGGACCTTTCAAGGTCCTTATTCTAGACCCAAAGGGGATTGGTGGCTTTCCTGTATCCCTGGAGGGGTGGAATGCAGGAGTCGCTTTGGTCCCCAGAGACGGTCTGGGGGAGGAGGGTGAATCTGAAGATCAGACTGTGGATATCTGGAGGAGAGTGGCCTCAACAAGCCCTTTAGGATCTGCTAGAAGCACAGCTGCTGTCATTGAGGTTTACTTAACTGAGCTCCTTGAGGACAGGACAAGATCAAGTTCTGGTTTATCCTTCTAATCTCAATGCCTAGATGCAAGGTCGGTTCCTAACAGATGCCCTCATCCCTTAGTTTTTAATTCATTAAATAAATATCGAGTACCCATTACACTGCAAGGTATGCTACACGTGAAGGCAGTAGCAAGACAGACAAGTCTGTCCTTAGGACCTTCACGCCACTGGAAGCTCACAGGCTTATTAACTTAGTTCTTACAAATGCTAAGAAGAAGATAAAACGAAGTGATGGGATAGTGACAGGAGAAAGAGGATTCTGGGTGACCAGAGAAGACCTCTTCCATCTGAGTTAATAATGAGAAAGCAGCTATGAGATCTGGGGGAAGAATATTTCAGAGAGCACAGTAAAGTGTAAAGGCTCAAAAAAGGAATAAGATTGCCACGTGTGAAGAACAAGGCAGCCATTGTGACTGGAGGGACACTTGTACCAGGCTAGAACGGTAGATATGAGTCTGATCACATAGGAAATTTTACAGTAACTGGTGTGGGGTCTGCTCACTCCATTCTGTACATAGTGGCCAAATTAGCTTAAAGTATCTCTTTCCGATAACTTTTCTGCTCAGAAACCTCTTTAACTTTCCTCAGATGCATTTCAAATGTCCTCAGCATGATATTTAAAGTCCTTCATAATCTAAGTTCCACCTACCTTTTAGTCTTTGTCCATATCCTGGCCAAACTTTTGACTTCAGGCAAATGAATATTCTTGCTATCTGCTGTACAGACCTTGTATATTTTCATTTCTTTCTCTTTACTTTTAATTTTTTAATCAAAGTAACATGTGCATAACCAAATAGTGTAAAACGTTTTTATTATTTTTTAGTTGTTGATGAATTTTTATTTTATTCATTAATATGTGGTGCTGAGAATCGAACCCAGTGCCTCACACATTAGGCAAGTGCTCTACCACTGAGCCACAACCCCAGCCCCAAATAGTGTTAAACTTTTAACAAAGCAGAAGTCTTTTTAATTTTCCTCTGCATTCACCTCCTTTTACCCTCTTAAATTGCTGAAATCACACTTTTTCAATTCAGTGGATATAGTACTTGGTATTGAATTATTTTGACTGAGTAAATGTACACTGCTAACCTGTGTGTCACATGACTTTGTTTCCTTTGACTTTTTGTTTTTCCTGGTATTAATCATTGCTTTGCCTTCCCCCTAGATGACTATGCCTTTTATATATTGTACCTATCACTAATTCTTCTCACATAATCTGTTTCTCAATACACATTTTGTTCACTCAGTCACACTATAAGGCTTCCATCAATTCCATTTTCTCCCCTTGAAGCATTTCTTTCTTTTGCTGTGGACTGTACTGCTGGCTGTTTTGCCTGTACACAGATGCCATCCCTGGACTTCTCTGCATCCTCACAATTCCCTTTACCTCTTGTGTTGGACTCCTGTTTTACTGCATTTCAGTAAAGCAATCTTCTGGTAGCTTCCTTTGAAAGGAAGCATGGGAAATAGAAAACTTTTGAGAACTTGCATATCTAAAAATGATTAAGTTGAAAATAATCTTTCTTCAGAATTTTGAAGGCAAAACTATTTTGACATATTCTCATTGTCTTCTAGTTTCAGTACTGATCTCATTTTCTTCAGTCCTCTTAATTCTTATTTTTATTCTCTCTGGAAACCTTTAGAAGTTCCTTTTCCCCTGGAGTCCTGAAATTTCATTGTGATATGCTTTGGTGAAAATCTTGTTTTGAATTAGGGCCTTGAATTCCAGGGCTCAAGTGATACTCATGATTCAGCCTCCTGGATAGCTGGGGCTGCAGGTGCATCACTGTGACTGATCTTTTTTTCATTCACTGTGCTAGGTATTTGGTGGACTCTTTCCATCTAGAAATTTAATAATGAATTCTTGAATTAATAACATTATCACTACCAATCTTTTCTATTTTTTCTGTAACTCCTGTTAGATGTTGGACCTTCTGGATTAACCATTTTTCTTAACCTTTTCTCCTGTAGTACCATTTCATTTTTAAATGATTCCACCTTTTTGCAAAATTTTAACATTATTTATAACCCTTCCAGACATTAGCCATCCATTATATTGGACTTTACTTATCCAATATGTCAATATATCCTTAAACATGTATGTTTTTATTGGATAGGTAAAATATTCACAATTTGAAATCCAAACATATCTAAGGATGGAAATGCAATGAAGTATCTCCCTAGAATTTGGTTCTCTAGTCCTCCAACTCTGAACAGGACACAACTTGTTTATTTTTACAGTTCTAAAACTCTTATTCTCCAGTTCTTCCTTTTAACAGCACTTCCTTTGTAGACACAGTATCTTCCTTGAGTTTTTATAATTGTAGCTTTTCCCTCTCTGAAGTTTCAAAAGTATCCAACTTTGCCATTTTTTTCTTGGTTTCAAAATTTCTATTTGCTGGTTTTGGTCTCTTTCATTTTTGAAGCTTTCTCAAATATTTGATGGACCTTGGCTTGAATTCTATTCACACTTAAGGGTGAGATGCTGAAAATCTGACTGGAAGCTCGACATAAATGACCTATTAACTGATGGGACTTAATGTGGGGTTTTGATAAAACAGGGAGTTGTTTTTTTTTTTTTTTCTGTCAAGGAAACAACAAAAAAGGTCAGTATTCAGTTTTTTTTTTTTTCTTCACGTTCAACCTAATAACTCACCTCCATCTCCACCATGCCTACTACTAAGATCTGAGGCTCTGATGGTTCTCTCCAGTGTCTTGAAATTTCACGGGACTCTTCATATACAGGGCACTTGGGGGCCCTGTTTGCCTGGAAATTCATGGTCTTCTTAAGTATTTCTCTGATAATTTCCTTCCTATCATTTCTCCAGAAGTTGAATATCTCATTTCTTGCAAAGAAAATCACCTGGATGAATCCAATGAAGTGAGGATAGGGGTTAAATTTTTCTTATACAGATCTTTGTATAACCTCCCTTTTTGGGGTTATGAAGGGCACGATGGCTTGCTTCTTAACAACCATTCCAGCAGGTAGAATCAAACTCATTGTGTTCTGCCCAGTTACCTTTCACTCTTTGATTTTTCAAAATATTGGTGTTTCTTATTCATTGTCATCTCCTCTTTTTCATATCACTGAATCAAGTGCCTTGTTTTCTTGGGGGGAGGATCGGAGATACGGGGGATTGAACTCAGGGGCACTTAGCTGAACCACATCCCCAGACCTAATTTTTTAAAAATAGTTTTTAGACCTTGATGGCCTTTATTTTGTTCATTTATTTATATGCAGCGCTGAGAATTGAACCCAGTGTCTCACACTTGCTAGGCAAGTGCCCTACCACTGAGCTACAGCCCCAGCTCTGCCCCCAGCCCTATTTTGTATTTTATTTAGAGACAGTGTCTCACTGAGTTGCTTAGTGCCTTGTTAAGTTGCTGAGGCTGGCTTTGAACTTGCAATCCTCCTGCCTCAGCCTACAAAGCTGCTGGGATTACAAGTGGTGCCACCGTGCCTGGCTCAGGTGTCTTTTTAAAAGAATTTTTAAAATTTTCAGTATTGCAAGTGAACCCAGGGACTTTTACCACTGAGTTACATCTTCAGCTTTTTAAATTTTTTTAAGACACACTCACAAAGTTTGCCTAAAATGGCCTTGAACTTGTGACCATCCTGTTCTAGCCTCAGAGTAGCTGGGATTACAGGCATGTGCCACTGTGCCTGGAAAAAGAATTCCTTTACTAACATTTGAGAGAGATTGTTGGGAGGAAGCAAAAGATATTATTTAATTTTCATTTTGCTTTACTTTGAATGTGCCTTTCTAACCTTTTCTATTTGTTAGGCCAATCTCAGCATTACAAGTTGGTAGTTTTCCCTAAATATCCCAATTAGAAGACATCTCTCCTTTGTAAAAAAGTTTTATAGATCACTTCTGACTTCCATCATCAATCTGGTACAGATCAGAGATACCTTACAATTACCTGTATTTAAGTGTCTTAGGTCCAGGTAATAACCTTCATATGCTGTCTAGGTACTAGATTCTGTACCTGATAAGACTGAAACAGAGATTTACTAAGAAAAAAATTAAGTCATTGCTTGGACAGTCTATTTTTTCCTCTTCAGAAATGTCTTTACCCCAAGGAGAGTTCACTATCTTCTTTCTGAGCTTTTTCCTTTCCACTTCACTGAAATGAAGAAAGGCACTCATTTTATCTATGACTTCCATGCCAGGGGGTCCCTTGTTACCAGTGACATTTGCCACACTTAGTATCAATAGAGGAAAGCACTAACTCACTCTATATGAAGGCAACAAAGAGTTCACAAAGGAACTGGGCAAGGTGGCTTAAACCTGTAATCCTAGCTATTTGGGAGGCTGAGACAGCAGGATCAC